TTCGAGGACACGCAAAAATACAGCACGAAAGCGTTTGAATAAACGGGCAAACGATACAGAGAGAAAAAGTAATTTCAACCGCGTAAAATAATCCTTTTAAGTCGAGCGTGGCTGCGCGTTTAATAATGGTGCACTTAATACGCGGCAATGGCCGTACCTGACCCGTGTGTAAACTAACCGCTCAGTCGCGAGTCCGTCGTTAATTAGAAACGTGGCGAAAACAAAGGTATTTCCCGCGCAAAACTCGTATGATCGGTAAACGCGGCGAAACAAGTACCAATCCGAAAAAAACAACAAACAATTACGATGACATTAATCCTCTTCGACGTGAAGATTATTTAAGTAAAAACACGACAAAAATAGAACGATAATTTAAAAAAATATCGATCCCCGTTCGGTCTTTCTGAGTAAAGAGTACTCGAAGTATCAACAACCTAATTAATGTCGTTAATTAAGTTCAAGTGTCGATGTTATGAATCGACTAATATAAAAAAAGCAGCGTGCACACGAAGCTACGATGTATACACGAATGATACCAGATGTCTTCTAAACTTTCGAACGTTTTCGTAACTAGGTTAACCCCGAGGAAATTCAGGACATGCACATGCAACTCCAGAGGTTCGTAAAGCTGTGCAAGAAACGCTTAAGCTCGGTATTTGCCCGCGAAACGGGAGTAGAAAGCGCAATAGGAATATTTACGTAATTTGCCCTTTACGCCGTGCACGCCGAGAGTCGGCTCAGCGAGGACTGTTATCCTCGGTTGCTAAATTAGGTAGATTTAAGCGCCACACGAGTGACCGTAAACTGCGAGACTACTTAAGTCTATCTTGAAAACTGTCCTTTTCGTCTTACACGCGCATCAAACACCGATGTATTTAGAGAAGAACGGCTCGAAGATTCGTAACTGGGTTAATCTTGATAGGCATGGAATTCCCCTTGGGATTCCTAAATCAGCAAAGGTATCGAGAACACCGATAGATCGATAATTCCTCTCATTCACGCCGAACGAATCGCTTTCACAAAGAAACGGTTGAAAAAATTATTCTAATACGCGACTTATCGACAGGCCGTTTCACCAGACCTTTCTTTTACCCGCTATTTCAAACGCCTCGCATTTTCGCGGCATAAACACGAGGGCGTTCCACAAAGTCGCAACTAGGTTATCTTTAATGCGAACGCTTTTTGACGTGCACGAATTCCGCGAGAGAAAAAGAAATAGTATTGTTACTCACCCGCGAAACAGCTGATCGAGAATGACGACGACGACGTCGACGACGCCGATGACGATGGCGACGATGACAGGTTATAACCTTTGATTCCACCGTGATCGAGGATGCCTCTTGACAGGTCGACAGCTCGAGGTTTCATACGCGAATGTAAAAAAACGTTACGACCGAGTAAGAATGCAACGCGAACGCATATCGACCTCGACGACCGCGAAATTAGCACTCACTGAACCCCGTTCGTCGCGAGCGTGCACAGCGAAACGACAAACGATGACAACGGCAACGACGACGACGAGCAAAGGGTAGAAAACGTTTCCCTGCTTCCTCCACCGACACCGCCCTCGCGCCGCGCCACATTTATCGCGCCACTGCGCACGCGCGACGCCGCCTCGACTCTGCGCATGCGCACGCCTCGCAACCCGCACCTGTTTCCAAGCTTTCCGAACGAGACACAGAATACTCGTGCATCGCTAAACTTTTCGAAAGCACGTTAGATCTTCGCTATAATGTTCCCGACATGTTTCTGTCACCTTTGTCAAACTCTGCCCACCACGTTTGTCAAACTTTCAGCTTAAGACGACTACTGGCTCTGGAAGTTTCAACGTTCGAATGGACCTCTAATTCGAGTTAAATTTTGGTACACCGATGTCTCAATATATAATTCTTATTAACATATATGGCCCGCTCATCGAGTTCCCTTTCGCACGGTCTTTCACGCATATTTGTTGCGCTCTTATAACGTATCGAGATCTGTGCAGTTGACTGCAGTTTCAAGAGCTGTTTTTTAAGGTAAACGATGTGTTAATTTTAATATAGTAGCATTTAGAGCCATGTGACTAAACTAATGTAGTCTGATAATAAATTTTAATATAATCGTAATAAATTTTTTTATTCGTTTTAGTTGTCTTTCATTTCAAGCAGAAAGTACACAATTGATTTCTGAAAATGATCGAGTTATCGTAAATTAAATCTGCGGAGGACTCAAGAAAGGATATCATCTTAGCTTCTTACAGCAACGAGAATGCAAATTAAGTATTGTTTGAGTTCAGCGCGCGCCATAGCAGCGCGCAATGCATTTTAAATTTTAACGAAGAATATTTTTGTAAAGTATGGATCAACTTTGTGTACCATGCTTCATAGGTCGAAAAGTAAACTTATTATTCGCATTCTTATAAGAAGGTAATTTCAGAAGAACATACGTATTTAGCATGGAAAGTATACTAAAGAAATTTTTCAGATTTGTTACATCTTTTATATTCAACGGATAAAGGAACAAACTTTGAACAGTCAAAGAAGAAACAAAGGCCCATTGTAGTCAGTTTATATTCTTTCATAGTAGTCTTTCACGGATTAAGACAAACATACTATAGAAATGCTATACAGAAAGCTATAAAAAATTTTGAAATAAAATGGAACAAAAACTGTGAGAATTAGAGCTTGCAATGGTACCAATTTTTATATAAAAGATATTAATATAAATTTTTACACAAATTAATAAATTACCAAAATTTTCAGAGACTTGCCAGGGAAAGATGATTTCTATCGACTACAATTTGTAAACGCGTGAACGTAGGAAGAGAATCGATATGAAATCACTGCAACGGTAACCCATAGACGATGCAGATTCGATTAAAGTCTGAGGTAGGAAAAAGTTTTCCAATCAGAACGGTACGTGCTCGGTGGGCCTTTCTTTTCTCGTCGACCAACTAGGCGAGAGAGACAATCGGCGACCAGGATGAAGGAGGAAAGTTGTCGAGTATCCACAGCATATCTTTCCCAATGAATTCTTCGATCGGGCTTCAACATGGGATGCTCTCCATAATGTTGGTGACTATTTAATAGCTTTTCACTTGACCTTCTCTATCAATTCCTTTTTCTATTGCCACTCGAAAGTTTTTTTTACAGGAAATGAATTATTGCCGATGGTCACGAGATGGCTCAAATGTTTTAATCTACGAGACTTTGCTGGGCGGTGAATTTGGAAGAAGGGTTTATGGATCTTTTTTGGTGAGAAATTTCTTAATTTTCAAATTCTCAAATTTCTAAGTTTCCAAATTTCAAATTTCCTAATTCCAAATTTTCCAATTCCAAATTTTCCAAATTCCAAATTCCAAATTCCAAATTTTCCAATTCCAAAATCCCCAAATTCCAAATTCCTCAATTCCACACTCCCCAATTCCACATTCCCCAATTCCCACATTCCCCAATTCTCACATTCCCCAATTCCCATATTTCCCAATTCCCACATTCCCCAGTTCCAAATTCCCCAATTCCACATTCCCCAAATTCCAAAATCTCCAAATTCCAAATTCCCCAATTCCATTTCCCACATTTCCCAATTTCCACATTCCCCAGTTCCAAATTCCCCAATTCCAAAATCCCCAATTCCACATTCCCCAAATTCCAAAATCTCCAAATTCCAAATTCCCCAATTCCCACATTTCCCAATTTCCACATTCCCCAGTTCCAAATTCCCCAATTCCACATTCCCCAAATTCCAAAATCTCCAAATTCCAAATTCCCCAATTCCCACATTTCCCAATTTCCACATTCCCCAGTTCCAAATTCCCCAATTCCAAAATCCCCAATTCCACATTCCCCAAATTCCAAAATCTCCAAATTCCAAATTCCCCAAATTCCAAAATCCCCAATTCCACACTCCCTAATTCCCACATTCCCCAAATTCCAAAATCCCCAATTCCAACATCCTCAAATTCCAAAATCCCCAGATCCCCAAATTCCCAAACTCCCAAATGGAAAATTTTAACCCAGAAATTTATGTAAATATAAACATACATGAAAGCATCGACGTCCGTTTCCAGGGGCAACGTGCGCCGATAGATCAAACCGTCCCACGTTTTAAAACTCCACGAACCTTCATACAGTCCAGTTCAATCAGAGTCCAGCCATAATTAACTTTTGCAAACACTGTGTTTGAAATGTAGTAAACTTATATTTAAGTGAGACGAGAGTAAGTAGTAACAATATGTTTCGTTAAGAAATAAAGGTAAGGATGCTGAGAGCAGGAATCTCTCTGATGGCTCGATTTGCATATAAATGAAACGTGAACTGTTCTAAGATGTAAAAACATCCTGCGAACAATTGGCGAGTCGTCAAAGGAAAAGGACTGTTTCTTAATTAACTGGTAGAATGAAAAAGGAATGGGGATAATGAGAGGAAAGAAATATATTACATGGGTGTTATTGTAGGCTCATAGGGAAAACGGAGTGAAGAGAAAATAGAAGAGTACTGAGCTTATCTTCTTTTGATGAAGATGGAGATATAAGGAAAGCTGGCGATAGTTTATCTGGGTAAATTAGTAAATATCAAAAATGTTGAAGTTTGGAGATCTTCGTATTTTATTTCTATTCAAGCTTCACATTTTAACATTTCTGAAGAGATAACAAAATACATTCTGTTCTATATGAAATGTTTGCTTGAAGAAAATTAAAAATGATGCACAAAATATGTTTAAAAAAGACAGACAATTTTTTAGATAATGCAAGGTGTATTTTTGTTTGTGAAAATACAAAAGTTATACATACTTACAACATACTATTTATTAATTATACTAGTCATATGTCATATTAGTTATGACATACTTTAGAAATATGAAATATAATTTAGTATAAAATTCTTGTTAATATAAATTGCATAAAAATTTCAGATGCCTCCAGTTTGTTTCCAAAAAACTATGTTACAGTCTGAAAAATGTCCTCTTTAAACGTTAATAGATGCTTATCGAAGAGCCGCGAAACACAGCCTACCTGAAAAGATACGCAAAATTTGTAAGAAGACGATATTTGTAGCAGCGAATACGTAATTACTGACACAACCGCATGAATGAACTCGATGTATAAAGTAAAAACCGCAGCGGAAGAAGCACGAAAGCTGTGGAGGCATAAAAAGCCTGAGCACTCAATGGCTGCATTCGCGGCAAATGAAGCCGTTTCTTCACGGTTCTCCCCGTCGAAACGTGTGACAATTCTATCGATGCTCGAGGAGTATACAAATGCGTTAGCCATTTACCATAGCACGCTGAAAAAGCCGACCAGACAGGATAACGATATTCCTGTTAACTGCATTTCCTTCGATTCCAAGTACGTTGCTCGTCGATACGTCTATAGGAATTTCATTACTTTCAAATTTCTGATGTGGGATACTCTTCTTATATTGCCGCTTTTAATACTAGCACTCTTTAAGATTACCATTTTTTAGGACTACTACTCTTTAAGACAACTACTCTTTAAGACTACCACTCTTTTAACACTACCATTTTTTAGGACTACCACTCTTTAAGACTACCACTCTTTAGGACTACCACTCTTTAAGACTACCACTCTTTAGGACTACCACTCTTTAAGACTACCAAACGGATCAAATGACCGATCACAAGTTCCTTATTATAAATTACACAATTTGTAAAAATGATGTAGAAGTGCATTGATCTTCATCAAGATAAAGAATTAATGAGTGTACTATTTTATATTTTGTCATTTGTCCATTTTTTCATTTCGAATTAAGTCAATATACGCTGGTGGAATTAAAGGGTTAACTACTGAATTTTCTTTCGAAGAATATGCAATGTCGAGCAGGGTAAATACTATTATAAATTTATGGAGAACTTAAAGCAAAACGTGGAAGGATTTTTATATTAGATGACGTCTTTTGACGATATTAACCCTTTACACTCCTTAACACTAAAACTATCAAACCGGTTAAATAACCGCTCCACAAGTTTCTGATTATAAGGTACACATTTTGTTGAAGTATACTCCTTAAAATCAGCATTAATCTTTATCGAGATAAAGAATTAATGTGTGTACTATTTTATGTTTTGTCGTTTGTTCATTTATTTTTTAACTTCATTTTTAATTTCAAATTAAGTACATATGTCGGTAGGTTTAGTGTTAATTTCTATTACCAACTCCTTCATTCACAAAATAGATGAAGAGTTAAATGTATTGCAACAGAGGAAGAATGTGACAAATATCTTTTTCCTCCGATGAAAATATACATATTCAATTAATACATTTATGTCTGAATTATTTCTAAGATCTAAGAGAGTTAAGTCACACTCGACATAGGGTTAAGGGTTAATAGTTTCGAGAACTATATGCTTAACGTTGTCGATGCAACCTGTGTATCGGTGCAGCGCATGAATATCAAGTAGTAGAGGGTTAATAATAACACCTGATACACTAGTTTCACGATTAGTATCTCGTATTCGACCCTTAACGTATCTGCTAATTAACAGATTTATTTGTAAAATGTATTCCAGTAAGAATAGAGTACCTCACCGTCTATCTATTAATTAACAAATTCATTTGTTAAAAGTATTAGAGCAAGAATAGAGAACCTCACCGTCTATCTATTAATTAACAAATTCATTTGTTAAAAGTATTCGAGCAAGAATAGAGTACCTCACCGTCTATCTATTAATTAAAAAATTCATTTGTTAAAAGTATTAGAGCAAGAATAGAGAACCTCACCGTCTATCTATTAATTAACAAATTCATTTGTTAAAAGTATTAGAGCAAGAATAGAGAACCTCACCGTCTATCTATTAATTAACAAATTCATTTGTTAAAAGTATTAGAGCAAGAATAGAGAACCTCACCGTCTATCTATTAATTAACAAATTCATTTGTTAAAAGTATTAGAGCAAGAATAGAGAACCTCACCGTCTATCTATTAATTAAAAAATTCATTTGTTAAAAGTATTCCAGTAAGAATAGAGAACCTCACCGTGTATCTACTAATTAACAAATTCATTTGTTAAAAGTATTCCAGTAAGAATAGAGTACCTCACCGTCTATCTATTAATTAAAAAATTCATTTGTTAAAAGTGTTACAGCAAGAATTAACTAAGAAAGAATATTTTTATATCACAACCCTGGATATGCATAAATGTATATGTATACATGAATATACACCCTTAAAGTATAAATTATAATAAACTTATACAGACAGAAAGTTATATAAACTATATTATACTTGTCAGGAAATTTCTTATACATTTATACATGTTTCAGCAACTTTTTAAGGTCAGATGTACAAGACAATTTCGACGAAGTTATAAAAGCAGAAGATGCGGAGGAACAGGCTACCTCTGAGAAACTTTACGAAGACAGGTTAGAATAATACGTCTTGATGATCAATAAACATTTGTAGCAAACAATTTGTTTCGTCTCTTGTTCCATAAACAACTAATTATTTTTTTAATTCGATCAAACATGTATAAAAAAAAATTTGTTCAAAACATGCTCGACAATTTCATAGTCATCGTAATCAATAAAACGTGTATTCTCTCTTATATAATTATTATTAATTTTTTATTCGAATCAATAACGTTGCAGTTTGTACATAAGGAAAGTTATGGAGGACTTGAAAGAAGAAATTCGCGAGCACGGAACTTTCGAATTCTTGACGAAAGAGATCGAAGAGATTACCCGGCGTAAAAAAGAGGAGGAAAATTTACTCGAACAGGAAGAGAAACTCAAGAAAACAGTAACCGAGCTGCAAAAATTAATCGCCGATGAAAAAATCGCCAACGAGGAAAATAAGAGACGTATGATGTACGAACTTTCTGAGAAACAGGTATCGTCTTCCTGTTTTTAAAGGATACGTCTAATTTCGTTGAAACACGAGCCTGCTTACTTGGTAGCGGTAATTTTGCGTTTGAAATAACAGAGAAATACAGAGAGGCTAAAGATAATTTCGCACGCGGAGCAAGAATACCTTGCTGCTTGGGAGAAGGCAAGATACGAGCAAAACCAGCTGCGCTGTGATATGGAGATAAAACAATTGGAGAAAATGTTAAATGATTACAGTGTACAGGAGAAGAATGAGGAGCGTGTGCACAGGGAACTGACGAAATTTTTAACTTGGGAAACGGCGGTAAATATTTATGTAATTTTCGGAAGAAGTAGGATCTGAGAAATTTTCTGGGTAGACAAGGCTCTCTTTATATTGCCAAGTTTCAAATTTTCATGTAGAGAAATTTGGAAAATTAGAAATTTGGGAATTTGGTAATCTGGGGAATTTTTGGAATTTGGGATTCTAGAGAATTTGGGAATCTAGGGAATTTTTGGAATTTGGGGAATTTAGGTTTCCAGAGAATTTGGGAATCTAGGGAATTTTTGGAATTTGGGAATCTAGGGAATATGGGGACTGGGAATTTGGGATTCTAGGGAATTTGGGGATCTAAGAAATTTGGGAATATACGGAGTTTTGTGAGATGGGAATTTGGGGATTTTAGGATTTGGAAATTTTGGAATTTGGGGATGTTGAAATTGGGAAATTTGAAATTTGGGGAATTTTGGAATTGGGGGATTTTGGAATTGGAGGATTTTGGAATTGGGAGATTTTGGAATTGGGGAATTTTGGAATTGGGGAATTTTGGAATTGGGGAATTT